GGTCACAAATCAACTCTCAACTGGTACCGAAAGACTGGAATCATTCCCTGCATATTTTCGGACCAGAGTGCTTTGAAATTAGAACTCAATCACAAGAGGAAAGTCGGAAAGAACTCAAATACATGGAGGCTAAAGAGCATCCTACCACAGAATGAATGGATCAACCAGGAAATCAAAGAAGAATTAAAAAAATTCATGGAAACCAATGAAAATGAAAACACAACTGTTCAAAATCTTTGGGATGCAGCAAAGGCGATCCTAAGAGGAAAGTATATAGCAATACAAGCCTTTCTCAAGAAGCAAGAAAGGTCTCAAATACACAACCTAACCCTACACCTAAAGGAGTTGGAGAAAGACAGCAAATAAAGCCTAAACCCAGCAGGAGAAAAGAAATAATAAAGATCAGAGCAGAAGTCAAGGAAATACAAACCTAAAAAACAGTAGAACAGATCAAAGAAACTAAGAGCTGATTCTTTGAAAGAATAGATAAGATTGATAAACCCCTGCCCAGACTTATCAAAAAGAAAATAGAAAGGACCCAAACTACTAAAATCATGAATGAAAGGGGAGAAATCACAACCAATACCAAGGAAATGGAGGCAATTATTAGAAGTGAATATCAGCAGCTATATGCCAATAAATTAGGCAATCTGGAAGAAATGGATGCATTCCTAGAGATGTATAAACTACCAAAACTGAACCAGGAAGAAATAAAAAACCTGAACAGACCCATAACCAGTAAGGAAATTGAAGGAGTAATCAAAACTCTCCCAAAAAACAAGAGCCCAGGGCCAGATGGCTTCCCAGGGGAATTCTAGCAAACATTTAAAGAAGAATTAATACCTATTCTTCTGAAACTGTTCCAAAAAATAGAAATGGAAGGAAAACTTTCAAACTCATCCTATGAGGCCAGATTACCTTGATCCCAAAATCAAAGACCCCATCAAAAAGGAGAACTACATACAGACCAATATCCTTGATGAACATGGATGCCAAAATTCTCACCAAAATACTAGCCAGTAGGATCCAACACTATATTAAAAGGATTATTCACTACAACAAAGTGGGATTTATTCCTAGGCTGAAAGGTTGGTTCAACATCCACAAATCAATCAATGTGATATAATACGTTAATAAAAGAAAGAACAAGAACCATAGGATCCTCTCAATGCTTAAAAAGCATTTGACAAAGAACAGCATCCTTCTTGATCAAAAATCTTCACAATGTGGGGATAGAGGGTACATACCTCAATCTCATAAAGCCATCTATGAAAAACCCTCAGTGAGTATCATTCTCAATAGGGAAAATCCCTAAGTTTTCCCCCTAAGGTCAGGAGCACGGCAGGGATATTGTCTATCACCACTGCTGTTCAACATAGTACTAGAATTCCTAGCCTCAGCAATCAGAGAACAAAAAGAAATAAAAGGCATCCAAATCAGCAAAGAAGAAGTCAAGCTCTCACTCTTTGCAGATGATAGGATACATTATGTGGAAAACCCAAAAGACTCCACCCCAAAACTGCTAGAACTCATACAGGAATTCAGTAAAGTGGCAGGATATAAAATCAATGCACAGAAATCAGCGGCATTCCTATACACAAACAACAAGACAGAAGAAAGAGAAATTAAGGATTCAATCCCATTTACAATTGCACCCAAAACCATAAGATACCTAGGAATAAATCTAACCAGATAGGCAAAGAATCTGTACTCAAAAAGATACAGAATACTCATGAAAGAAATTGAAGAAGACACAAGGGAAAGGAAAAATGTTCCATGCTCATGGATTGGAAGAACAAATATAATTAAAATGTCTATGCTACCTAGAGCAATCTACACATTTAATGCAATCCCTATCAAAATACCACCAACCTTTTTCAAAGAAATGGAAGAAATAATCCTAAAATTTGTATGGAACTAGAAAAGACCCCAAATCGCCATGGGAATGTTGAAAAAGAAAAGCAAAGCTGGTGGCATCACAATTCCAGACTTCAAGTTCTACTACAAAGCTCTGATCATCAAGACAGTATGGTACCGGCACAAAAACAGACACACAGATCAATGGAACAGAATAGAGAGCCCAGAAATGGACTCTCAACTCTATGGTCAACTAATATTCGACAAAGCAGGAAAGAATGTCCAATGGAAAAAAGACAGTCTCTTCAACAAATGGTGTTGGGAAAATTGGACAGCCACATGCAGAAGAATGAAACTGGACCATTTCCTTACACCACACACAAAAGTAAGACTCAAAATGGATGAAAGACGTGAAGGTGAGAGGAATCCATCAAAAACCTTGAAGAGAACACAGGCAGCAACCTCTTTGACCTCAACTGCAGCAACTTCTTCCTAGAAACATCGCCAAAGGCAAGGGATGCAAGGGGAAAAATGAACTATTGGGACGTCATCAATATAAAAAGCTTTTGCACAGCAAAGGAAACAGTCAACAAAACCAAAAGACAATGGACAGAATGCGAGGAGATATTTGCAAACGACATACCTGCTAAAGGGTTAGTATCCAAAATATATAAAGAACTTATCAAACTCAACACCCACAGAACAGATAATCCAATCGAGAAATGGGCAGAAGACATGAACAGACATTTCTGCAAAGAAGACATGCAAATGGCCAACAGACACATGAAAAATGGCTCAACATCACTTGGCATCAGGGAAATCCAAATCAAAACCTCAATGAGATACCACCTCACACTAGTCAGAATGGCTAAAATTAACAAGGCAGGAAACGATAGATGTTGGCGAGAATGTGGAGAAAGGGGAACCCTCCTACACTGTTGGTGAGAATGCAAACTGGTGCGGCCACTCTGGGAAACAGTATGGAGGTTCCTCAAATAGTTGAAAATAAAGTTACCCTATGACCCAGCAATTGCACTACTGGGTATTTAACCCAAAGATACAAATATAGTGATCTGAAGGGGCACCTGCACCCCAATGTTTATAGCAGCAATGTCTACAATAACCAAACTATGGAAAGAGCCTAGATATCCATCAATAGATGAATGGATAAAGAAGATATGGGGGGTGTGTGTATACACACACACACACACACACACACACACACACAATGGAGTATTATGCAACCATCAAAAAATATGAAAACTTGCCATTTGCAATGACACCAATGGAACTAGAAGGTATTATGCTAAGCAAAATAAGTCAATCAGAGAAAGACAATTATCATATGATCTCACTGATATGAGGAATTTGAGAAACAAGACAGAGCACCATAGGGGAAGAGAGGGAGAAATGAAAGAAGAGGAAACCAGAAAGTGAGAGAAACCATAAGAGACTCTTAATCTCAGGAAACAAACTGAGGGTTGCTGGAGTGGAGGGGGCTAATTGAACATAAAAAACATGGAAGAAATAAATCAAAATCTAACTCTCTATTTCAAAATAAACTGAAAGAAATTTTTTAAGTGGAAGAAGGCATAAGAAAACAACACAAATTCCCATCTTAATAATTCAGAATTTAGGTCACACGACTAAAAGATTTCAAATGAAAATTAAGAAATGAAGAGAACATTGCTGCAATAAACATCAGGGTGCACGCACCCCTTCGGATCCCTACATTTGTATCTTTGGGGTAAATACCCAGTTTTGCAATTGCTGGGTCGTACAGGAGCTCTATTTTCAACTTTTTGAGGGACCTCCATAATGTTTTCCAGAGTGGCTGCACCAGCTTGCATTCCCACCAACAGTGTAGGAGGGTTCCCCTTTCTCCGCATCCAACATATGAATGGATAAAGAAGTGGCATATATATACAATGGAATATTATGCAGGCATCAAAAGGAATGAAATCTTGCCATTTGCAATGACGTGGATGGAAGTGAAGGGTATTAGGTTGAGCGAAATAAGTCAATTAGAGAAAGACATGTATCATATCATCTCACTGATATGAGGAATTCTTAATCTCAGAAAACAAACTGAGGGTTGCTGGAGTGGTGGGGGGTAGGAGGCATGAGGGAGCTGGGTAATAGACATTGGGAGTGCTATGGTGAGCACTGTGAATTGTGTAAGACTGTTGAATCACAGACCTGTACCTCTGAAACAAATACTACATTATATGTTAAAAAGAAAGAAGATAGTAGAAAGGGAAAAATGAAGGGGGGAAATCGGAGGGGGAGATGAACCATGAGAGACTATGGACTCTGAGAAAGAAACTGAGGGTTCAAGAGGGGAGGGGGGTTGGGGGAATGGGTTAGCCTGGTGATGGGTATTAAAGAGGGCACGTATTGAATGAAGTACTGGGTGGTATATGCAAACAATGAATCATGGAACACTACATCAAAAACTAATGATGTAATGTATGGTGATTAACATAACATAATAAGATAAAAAGATGCAAAAAAAAAAAAAAGAAGTGAAGAGAAAACAGAAGACACAGAAGAAAGAATAAACACAACAAATGCCAGAGGCAAGATGGTGAAGGAGTAGGGAACCCCGTTTCATCTGGTCCCCTGAGTTTAGATGGATATCTATCAAACTATTTCAAACACCCACAAAATCAGCCTGAGATGTAAGAATATATATCTTGAACTGTACAAGGAGAAAAGCAACTGCTTTTGGAAGGTAGGACATGCAGTGTTGTGACTCTGTGGGGAGATACTGGAAGATATACAGAAGGGGAAGGGAGTCTTCATAAGCTGGCTCCTGGAAAGTGATATAAAACTGGAGTGCAAAATCAGAACCCTTAGAAATCTTCTCTAGTGAGAGAGAGACCTCTCTGAAAGAGGCTGTGGAAATGCAAAGGACAAAATTCTAGGTGGGGAATTGTGGTCTTGGGATCCAAGGAGGTACAGAGTGAATGGGGTGCCTGAACTGGTAGAGTGCCCAAGATGGGGAGGCAGGAATCAGGTTATGGTCAATGAGCCCAGGGGGGAACTCTCAGCTTGGGTCGCCATAAACTGGGAGCTGGGGCAGTCAGTAATTGCTCTTTGCCTGAGCAGCCTGTAAGGACTTGAAAGTGGGGGCCGTTTACCATCCCCTGGGAGGGGTGAAACGGCTGTGCCCACAACTGGGCAAAAGCTCTCAGGGCGGTAGTGGCCCAGAAAGGACAGTAGGGCAACACCCAACCATGACACAGGAGCTGTGGATGCACACGCGAGCCCATGGCAGCATGTGGTTTTAGAGTCACAAAGGGCAGTGGCACTCTGGGAGAGTTGCTGCAGTGGGCACGCACTGCAGGAGGCTGCGGGTTTTGGCGCATACAGAAGTGAAGACAATTTGTCCCAGAGGGTTAATGGAAGAGGATGGACTGTGATCTTTCTGCTTTGGGCCAGAGGTCTGGGCACGGTCATTATTGCTGTGATCCTATGAAGAGGACTGGAAAGCCTCCAGGGAACAAAAGCCACAGAGAGGACCAGTTTCCACTCAGCCCGCCCCCCTGACAGGGGCTGGGCCAACTCCGCCCAGGCAGGGACACCTGAGAAGGAGCATGGCAGGCCCCTCCCCCAAAAGACAGACTGGAAGAACAGGTGGATGACAAGCTTATGGATCCCACAAGACTCCAAAGCAAGGGGAAAACAGTATATTGAGCTCCACGTGTTGCCTCATAACTCGTTTATTTTTCAGATAAAATTCTCCTTTCTTTTTTTCTATGCTTTTTCTTTTTTTCTTTTTACCTTTTTCCCATTTCAACTAGATTCCTATTATACCAATTTATGTTTCACAGTCGTTTTTTAACTTGTATTTTTTCATATATACATTTTATAGATATATGCTTCATTTTAGTCCTTTTTCACTCTATTCAGTTATATATATATATATATATATATATGTATATATTTCTTTCCAATTTTGGGATGTGGTGTCTTCTAACACACAACCCAAAATTCACCCAGGAACAAGTGGATCACCCTGCTTTGTCCACCCTGTGAGATTATAGTCTCTCTTCCCCTCCCTTTTTAAATTTTTTTAAAAAATTTTTCTTTTATTCTTGTGTTTCATTTTGGCTTTATTTGCTTTTCTGTGGTGGCTTCCAACCACTTCACATTTTTCTCGGGTGCATTTTGCTTGGGTCATGGTTGATATTTTGGACTCTGTTCATTTGCCCACCCATCGTTCTCTGGGGAGAATGACTAGAAGGAGGAACTCACAAAAAACAAAACAAAACAAAAACAAAACAAAAACAAACAAAAAACCCAGAGGCAATGTTCTCTGCTATAAAGCAAATCGATATGGATATAAGTAGGATGTTAGCAATAGCATACAGGATAGCAATCATAAAGTTAATAGGTAGGCTTGAAAAAAGTTTAAGTGACAATACAGAATCTCTAAGGGTGGAAATGAGATCTAGTCAGGGCAAACATAAAAATGCTATAAATGAGATGTAGTCTAAACTGGATGCTCTAACAGCTACAGTCAATGATGCAGAAGAGAGAATAAGTAATGTAGAGCATAGGCTGATGGAAAGGCAGTAAGTTGAGGAGAAGAGGGAAAGACAACTAATAGTATATGAAAAAAGGCTTGGAGAGATTAATGATGTCATGAAACGTTCAAATGTCAGAATTACTGGGATCCCCAAGGGGGTGGAGAGAAAGCGAGGGCTAGAAGGTATATTTGAGCAAATAATAGCTGAAAACTTCCCTAATCTGGGGAAGGAAACAAGCATTCGTATCCAGGAGGCAGAGAGGACGCCTCCCAAAATCAATAAAAATAGATCAACACCCCATCATATAACAGTGAAGCTTGCAAATCGCAGAGCCAAAGAAGTTATCCTCAGAGCAGCTAAGGAGAGGAGGTTCCTTATGTATGGAGGGAGGAACATCAGACCGATCCACAGAAACCTGGCAATCCAGAAAAGGCTGACAAGATATATTCAGGGTATTAAATGAAAAGAACATGCAGCCAGGAATACTTTATCCAGCAAGGCTGTCATTCAGAACAGATGGAGAGATAAAGAGCTTCCAGGACAGGCATAAACTGAAAGAATGTGTGACCACCAAGCCAGCTCTGCAAAAAATATTAAAGGGGATTCTGTAAGCAAAGAGATACGCTAAGAGTAACAAAGACCAGAAAGTAACAGAGACAATCTACAGAAACAGGGACTTTACAGGCAATACAATGGCACTAAATTCATACCTTTCAATAGTTATTCTGAATGGAAATGGGCTGAATGCTCCAATCAAAAGACACAGCCTTTCAGATTGGATAAAAAAGCAGGACCCATTCATATGCTGTCTACAAGAGGCTCATTTTGAACCTAAAGACACCTCCAGATTGAAAGTGAGGGGCTGGAAAACCATTTATTATGCTAATGGACATCAACAGAAAGTTGGGGTAGCAATCCTCATATCAGACAAATCAGATTTTAAACCTAAGACTGTAGTAAGAGATGTAGAGGGACACTCTATCATACTTAAAGGGTTTATCCAACAAGATGATCTAACAATTGTAAATATCTATGCCCCCAACATGGGAGTAGCCAACTACATAAGCCAATTAATAACTAAAACAAAGAACCATATTGATAATAATGCATTAATAGTAGGAGACTTTAACACCCCACTCACAGCAATGGACACATTATCTAAGCAGAAGATCAACAAAGAAACAAGAGCTTTGAAGGACATATTGGACGAGATGGACTTCATAGGTATATACAGAACATTCCTTCCTAAAACAACTGAACACTCATTCTTCTCGAGTGCACATGGAACTTTCTCCAGAATAGATAACATACTGGGTCACAAATCAGGTCTAAAATGATACCAAAAGATTGAGAATATTCCCTGCATATTTTCAGACCACAATGCTTTGAAACTGGAATTCAATCACAAGAGGAAATTTGGAAGGAACTCAAACACTTGGAGCCTAAAAAGCATCCTGCTAAAGAATGAATAGGTCAACCAGGAAATTAAAAAAGAACTTTAAACAATTCATGGAAATCAATGAAAATGAAAACAGACTGGTTCAAAACCTATGGGATACTGCAAAGGCAGTCCTAAGAAGGCAGTATATAGCCATCCAAGCCTCTCTCAAAAAATTAGAAGAAAAATCCCAAATGCACAAGCTAACACCTAAAGGAGCTGGAGAAAGAACAGCAAATAAAGCCTAAACCAAGCAGGAGAAGAGAAATAATAAAGATTAGAGCAGAAATCAATGAAATAGAAAGTAGAAGAAAAATAGAACAAATAACAAAACTAGAAGCTGGTTCTTTGAAAGAATTAGTAAGATCAATAAACCTCTGGCCAGACTTATCCAAAAGAAATGAGGAAGGACCCAAATTACTAAAATCATGAATGAAAGGGAAGAAATCACAACCAATACCAAGGAAATGGACGAAATTATTAGAAGTTAATATCAGCAGCTATATGCCAATAAATTAGGCAATCTGGAAGAAATGGATGCATTCCTAGAAACTTATAAACTACCAAGACTGAAACAGGAAAATACAGACAATCTGAAAATACCAATAACCAGCAAGGAAATTGAAGCAGTAATCAAAAACGTCCCAAAAAACAAGAGTCCAGGGCCAGATGGCTTCCCAGGGGAATTCTATCAAACATTTAAAGAAGAAACAATACCTATTCTACTGAAGCTGTTTTAAAAAATAGAAATGGAAGGAAAACTTCCAAACTCGTTCTATGAGGCCAGCATTACCTTGATCCCAAAACCAGACAAAGATCCCATCGAAAAGGAGAATTACAGACCAATATCCCTGATAAACATGGATGCCAAATTACTCAACAAGATCCTAGCCAAAAGGATCCAACAGTACATTAAAAGGATTATTCACCATGACCAGGAGGGATTTATTCCCGGGATACAAGGGTGGTTCAACATTTGCAAATCAATCAATGTGATAGAGCTCATTAATATAGGAAAAGACAAGAACGATATAATCCTCTCAACTGATGCAGAAAAAGCATTTGACAAAATACAGCATCCTTTCCTGATTAAAACTCTTCAAAGTATAGGGATAGAGGCAACATACCTCAATGTTATAAAAGCCATCTATGAAAAGCCCCAGCGAATATCATTCTCAATGGGGAGAAACTGAGACCTTTTCCCTTAAGGTCAGGAACATGACAGGAATGCCCACTCTCACCACTATTGTTCAACACAGTAGTAGAAGTCCTAGCCTCAGCAATCAGACAACAAAGAGAAATAAAAGGCATTCAAATTGGCAAAGAAGAAGTCAAACTCTCTCACTTCGCAGATGACAAGATACTTTATGTGGAAAACCCAAAAGACTCCACCCCCAAATTACTAGAACTCATACAGCAATTCACCAACATGGCAAGATACAAAATCAATGCACAGAAATCAGTTGCATTTCTATACACTAACAATGTAACTGAAGAAAGAAAAATTAAGGAATCTATTCCATTTACAATAGCACCAAAAACCACAGGTTACCTAGGAATAAACCTAACCAAAGAAGTAAAGGATCTATACTCTAGAAACTACAGAATACTTATGAAAGAAATTGAGGAAGACAAAAAGAGATGGGAAAACATTCCATGCTCATGGACTGGAAGAGTAAACATTGTTAAAATGTCTATCTTGCCCAGAGCAATCTACACATTCAAGGCAATCCCTATCAAAAGACCATTGACATTTTTCACAGAGCCGGAACAAACAATCCTAAAATTTGTATGGAACCAGAAAAGACCTCAAATCGCCAGGGGAATGTTGAAAAAGAAAGACAAAGCTGCGGACATGACAATGCCTGACTTCAAGCTGTATTACAAAGCAGTGATCATCAAGACAGCATGGTAATGGCACAAAAACAGACATATAGATCAATGGAACAGAACAGAGAGCCCAGAAATGGACCCTCAACTCCATGGTCAACTAATCTTTGACAAAGCAGGAAAGAATGTCCAATGGGGAAAAAACAAGACAGTCTCTTCAATAAATGGTGCTGGGAAAATTGGACATCCACATGCAGAAGAATGAAACTGGACCATTCTCTTACATCATACACAAAGATGAACTCCAAATGGATGAAAGACCTCGATGTGAGACAAGAATCCATCAAAATCCTAGAGAAGAACATGGGCAGTAACCTCTGGGACATCAGCCACAGCAACTTCTTGCAAGATATGTCTCTACAGACATGGGAAACAAAATAAAAATGAACTATTGGCTGAGTAATCAGAAAGGATGAATACCCAACTTTTACATCAACATGGATGGAGGAGATTATGCTAAGTGAAAGTGAAATAAAGTGCTAAGTGAAATAAGTCAAGAGGAAAAAGT